GGATCAAGTCCTCAAGAGCTAAGGAAATGGCAGGGTTTTGTTAGATGATAGAGCATTTATTACCTTTAATGAGGTAATAAAATCTGCCCATCAGTTACTTACCGTATGTACCTTCTTTCTTAGATCAAACTTGTATGATATCTTTAGTTGGTCATTCTGAAAAGGACTTGCACAAAAAGGCAAAGTAGAGTAAGAACAGAAATACTGTAAAACTGGTGCTAGAGGAGTTGGTTGTCAACTTGTAAAGATAACTGCATCTGTCTTCTTTTCTTGCTGTGGCAGAGTGAGCTGTCGCTAGTCAGAGCTGCTCCAGCAGGTCATTAGCTGCCTCATCTGAGCGATTTCAGTTAACTGCTGACACAAGTTTTCCTTTACTTTGTGAAATCCATGGCAGAGGAGCAGGATGATAGAGGAAATTATCTCTGCCCAAGTTCTGCTTTTACTTACAACTTGGATGGACGGTAGTTCAGCAAGGTTTTTGTTGAAAGCAATCTGAACATGTTTCTGGTTTCCTTTTCAGTTTGGGCCGCACATGCTGAAGTCCACAGGAAAAATGAAGACTTTAATTGAAAAATCCTAGTGAATTCAGATCACTACGCGAAAGACTGTTGAGCTCCTTTCTCCAAAATATTTTATGTTGCAAATAGCACTAGTACTGAGTGGTCTCTTTCTTACAGCACAGAAAGACTCAATGTGAAGTAGAAGTGAGGCACTAAACGTGTTTGTATGTGATTTGTCAAGGGGAATAAATTGGACCATTATACTCAGGTATTAATTTTGCAGTCAAGCCTGGCTTTCCACTCAGACTTACATGGTGGGTTTAGTTTATTAACACTAAGTTATATATACAGTATTCTTTATTCATAACTGACCATCTTAAAAATCTGTGTACATGTTAATGATGATGGTGATACACCCTTAAGTTAATATCAGTTATTTGAGCTCTACCTGTAACTTGCACTACAATGTGTAATTTGATATTGAAATCTTCATGTTGAAGTCTTTCTTTTAAATTTAACTTAAGCAAAATTTTAGCCCAAAGGAAACCTGGAGGCACTTTGCTTCTTAGTGAAACAAAGGAAAAACTTGAATCTGCTGCAGAGTTCAGATAAATTTTAAGTAGTAGCACATTTTTGTGCAGGGTTGTTTGTTTCAAATGAGCTTGCAAGACTAAGAGAGTAAAACCTGCTTACATCATCCTGTGGCCATTATAAAGAGTGCAGGACAAGGGAGTAAATCGTGCTGTGGGAGCCTCTGTGAACAGGTAGTCCAGTGAATTTGAAATAGCCAGTAGATAGCAGCAGAGTAAAATAGTAAGAGAATATGTGTTAATTAGAGTAGAAACAGTGTAGGTAAGAAAATAAAGGTACCAAGTACTGTGGGGTGCAAGTTGCCAAAAGTACATTGTTCACATCTGCTGCTGTAAGGGATGCTTGTGGACACCTTTCTCCCCAGCTGTTTTGGGTCCCTGGATAAGTTTCTGGGAGCTGGGACCTGCACACACCCTCATGGTCCTGTTTGCCGGGAAGACATGGGATAAGCCATTGCACATAACCTGTTTTCCAAGGAAAGCCCTTCTGAGGCTTCCCCACAGCAGTTATTTGCTGCCAGACCTGCACCAACCACCTCAGCTCATGGCTCCAGCCACAGATGTAGAAAAGGCTCAAGCTAAACATACAAAAAGCTGTTCAGGAGCTCAGAGCTACAGCTTAGCTACGCCGTGAAATGAAGCCAAGCTTTGCTCTGACCATAGATGGGAGTAGAAGAAGCTGAGCCTGGATATTTTGGTGCTCTAAGCTGATCCTGGCTCTTGGGACAAGTACAACTGCCTCTGGAAGCTTCTGTTTTCTAGGAAAAGACAAAAGCAGCACTATTTAATAAAGAGAACTGAATGACGAGGTTACTGGAGATGAAGCTTTGCTGCTTATAACTGGAATGTAGGCTGTACAATGGAGGAGGGGGTTTTCTGGGGTGGAACTTGAAATGGTGTTCATATGTACACAATGTAACTTCCTTCCAAAATGCTCTGCCATCAGTCTTACTGACAGGCCATTCAATCCTTGAGTTCTTTTAAATGACTTAAAACCAAAATTAACTTTCAAAAAGGTGTTTTAAACTTTTGTATTTTATGCTCTATTGCCACTATATCAAATTAAAAGCAGTTAAAATAAACATGGCATATTTGATTTGTGGTACTCTACAAATGATAGCAGCCACAGTATAGTTTACATTCTGTTACAATGACTGTAAATCAATGTAGTGACAACCTACTTCCATCTCCTCCAGGACTGGTCTGCTTACCTTGCTGTGCACCAGGAGTGACAGTTAGTCTAGAAAAGCCCCACACTTAACTTAGTTACATTCAGATTAAATGACCAAAAAAAAGGGGGTATGAGGAACCAGTGAGAAGTTTATGCCTCACCACAAACATAGCAGGAAAGTACTTGTTTAACCATCCCCTGGTACACTGGGTTCCCCTGCCAGTCCAATTAACATGTAAAATTCAGGATATCACATGACCTATTAAACTAGGCTAGAGCGTGAGAAAAGCCCACACCAGGCATTGCCTGTTTGAACTGAGGTATCCAGTGCGCAGAAATGGGGTGAGCCTTGTCACTGATGTAAAATTACTGTAAAAGAAATGCCATCTGCACAAGAAAATAAAACCACAAAGCTGACATCAAATAACTTACTTTATACTGTACCCTAATTTGTATTTTTCTACTTGAAATCTTTTACACACACAATGCCACTGCCCACAGTAAAAGTGCTCAAACTAAGGCCATCCACTCATGTTGGGCAGAGGCCGTAGACATAACCTGAAGCCTCTTTGTCTGTGAACAGTGCTGGGAGTAGATCTGTGAATTAAGACAGTCTGTGGTGGGGACCTGGCCCCCATCCCCTCACACATTTCTGGGCTCCCGTGGGCTGTGAGTGGCCATGGTGCTTTAGGGACCCTGCTCCTGACACACTCAGCTCTCACATGAAATGTTCAAGCTGCAGGAATGTTGAAGTTCAATGTAGATTTGTAGAAAGCATTTCTAGACAAGTCAAAAAAAAAAAAGGCTTTTTTTTTTTTGCTTTTTTAATTCAATCTAACGTCAGAACCTTCCATGTACACTAAGAGGTGGGATTAGAACCTGTCTTTATAAATCCAGTCTGGTAGGAAAAGACAGAGACCCCTTTCCAGGAAAGGTGGCTTAGAACAAAACTACTCATGTTTCACTCTAGGCACCTTGACAAACTGTACTGCTTCCTGTCAGAGCAGAGGACAGCAAGATGGCACGTGAAAGAATCACAGGCTCTCTATAAATACTGTATGATAAATACTGTATGTTGAAATACTGCTATATACCTATTTGTAAATCCATCAAGCTGAATTTGCATTAGATATTAAAATGTGCTTATAAACAGCCTGCAATGAGTATTAAAATTTTAAATGCAGTTGAGACTCTTTAAACCAAGTCACATATTTTACAAACGCATCCCAGAAGACATCATCAGGTAATGATTTCAGTGGTCATTTTGAAAATAGCTGCAGTCTTGGCATATGTTTTTATTCAAAACAGTGAAGAGGAATCAGTACTTTTTCACATTTAACCCTACAAACCTGCCCAGGCTGTAGGGACGCTTAGCTGCAGCTTCTCTGTAGTAAGTTACTCACACACAGTCATTACCTCTGTGTTCTCACAGCTTCAAACACCACTGGGAAGTGTTGCCCTTTCAAAGACAATCTGTTAAAAAGTGCTTTTCTGTTCCTTCAAGTTACAACCAAAGCTCATTGTCCCATCTGATCCTTCTCTGCTGGAGTCAGACAACAGCAAAAACTTGCACTGACAGCGAAGGAAGGAAGTTCACGCAGGTTCAACAGAATGGTTTCATTAGAAATTTATTTCTTTAAACATGGCCACTTTGAGATTAATGATACTACTTCAGGGAACATGAAAGAATAAACAATTTTAGAAGGGAAACAATCAGGTAAGTCAGGATTTGCTTTTCAAACAGTAAAAGGCCAAGCTCCAAGAGGCAATAAATTTTGGCATATGAGGACTAGTATTTTCAAATCCAAAAGTTGGCTTAGTTTTACAGTGGAAGCTGACTGCAACCTTAGCTACCTTTCCACAACGCTGGACTCAGTCATAACTTAAATGTACAGGAGCATAATGTGAAAAGATTTTGTTTTATTAATTAAAAGTTAACAGCAACAGGCACATATTAAAATGAATATGGCAAAGCCTTTACAAATGGCTTTACGCTGAAGCTCTCTCCCAAAAATGGCTGTTGCAACAAACTGTAAACAGAATTAATAAACAGTCTTTTACAATAATAACAGGGAAATACAAATGAACTAAAAGAAAGCACCAGTTTCTCAAACTAGATTACAGTTGTGCTTACTGTACTTAAAACAATGTAAAACAAATTACAAAAATGGAATGTTTTAAGTTTAAAATTAGTCCTTTAATTTTGTCCTAAAAAACATTTTCTCCTTTTCCCATCAAAAACCCATCAGTGGGTAATGTTTCAGTAGAGGGAGGAATACGTAAACAATGCACTTTTTTTTATTATTTTTTTTCAAATCAAAAACAAATTTGGTCACTTAGCTTTGTGCATAGTTTAAGGCATCTGTAGCAATTTGTTACAGTTTCCTCCCCAGTGTGGCTGTTCATGAAATTGTCACATTCTAAAAGAATAAATTAAAAAAAAATAAAAGAAAACAATGTTGCCGTTCAAACCCTTCCCCGAGCCCTCCCGCCCTCCCCGTCCCAAACGTACTCACACACCCACACATACACACACGCTGCAGCGAAAGGGGCATTTGTACCCTTGTTCTGAAGGACACGCTTCCCATCCCACTTTATTTCAGATTGGCAAATACCCTGAGCTGATTATGGTGTTTAGACATTCCACCTTTTTCTTGCATGTGCAGTTCAAGTGTACAATAGTGAGAACAACATGCGATGTTCCCACTGCAGAATCGCAATGCAGTTCAGACGCTTCCCCCCACCCCCACCCCGCCCTTCCCAGACTCAGAAGTGTTTTGTTGCCGTTAAAAAATTGCATTCCCATATAGCACTGGAGTAAAGCTTGGCTGTGCTCTATGATGAATGCTCAGCTCCCAGTGCACAAACAAAATTATGGCAAATGGGAGGCTTTTCTGGCATCCAAAGAAACGAGAGCTGCAGTCTCAGATTTGATCTTTTTCTTTTAAAAAAGCAAAAAACTGAAGTTAGTGGTTCCTTCACAGCCATGCGCAAAGGTTAAGTCTAGAACCGACAGTTTCAGAGTACATTTGTAAACATCAAGTCTTGCCAGAGGCAGCAGAGGATGGGCACTTCACATTTCCGTATTAAAACAGGGACTGAGTGGAAGGTATGCTTTGAACACATTTATGCAATCTTGCTAAATTCCAAGGGAGTGGAACAATCCATCTCAAGTTTTAGATTTGAAGACTGTATTCCAAATTTCACCAAAAAACCCAAGCCATGTGTGGCACAATGAAGCTTTCGTCCTGTTGCTCCAAGGCTCAGTCACTGCTGTGCTTTGCATATTCAAGGTTCCGAACGAAAACCAGCTGAGGTGGGTGCATATTGCTCTATGTTCAAATCTTGCGGCTTAAAAAAATTCTGGTTCAAATGGTCTGTGTCAAAGGAAAACTTGGAAATAAATAATGCTGGCATCATTTTACCATTTTACTGAAACCTTGGGCTGGCACATATCTTCTTTAATCCAACCGTGCAGATACCAATAGAAGAGGCAGTTTTGTCATGAGGACTGAGGTCAGGACAATCGAGGTTCCTGAGGTAATATGTCTGAGTCCATTTCCTCAAAAGTAGGGTCAACATCATCACCACTGCCAGACTGTTCCCTCTGCACTCCCTTCCAGCTTGCCTTGTTCAGTCCCAGGTGGCCAAGCATTGTCTGTGACAGCCTGGTGTTGGAAAACCGGGCCCATTCCCCAAACAGAGGTTCCACTAAGTAGGTCATAAAACCTTCAAAAACAAGCAGAGACAAATGAAAACCAGAGAACAAACCCAGAGGAAAATTAAAATACTCAACCTAAATATTTTAAATAGAATTTAATAGCAAAAAGTAAATCTGTCAAACTACTGTTCTCCAATGTGTATTTAAAAATTCATTTCAATATTTAGGGCATCTTTACAAAATAATCTCTCAAAATATGAAAGATTTTACTAATCAGTCAGAACAGCAGCAATACACTGGATTACAAATTAACCCTCTGTCTTTCACAACAATGACCAAATAAAGGAAAATATTGAGGAACATGGGGGAATTTTATAATGAATTACCTCACAGACAGTCTGAACTATACTACATAGGGGGAAAAAAGAATATATTACTTTCACAATATTAAGCCGGCTAAAAGTATTTTAAAATATAAATTCTAGACATTTTTTAAACAAGGCCACAAAACATTAATACACATTTATATCCTTGTTTGTGTGTTTATATACAACTTTGTGCATATGCACATGTTCACTTATGTGCAGTGTCTACTTCCATGAACCAAAAACTCAAGGGTAAGATGACCAAAATTGAATCTGTCAATTATGGAAATGTATGTTTTCCTAACATTCTAAATTAAACCAGTGCAGCTTATTGAACACATCAGCTTTTCTGTCAATTTAAAGCATAATTAATACTGTGTTTGTGGTCAAATTTATTCTTTTCTTTACTGTGCTTTTAACTGAGTCCCATTCAACCTACATAAGCAACTTTTATTAAAATAACTATAAGAAGATATTTTACTATTTTAAATCCAACTGAATTTAGCAAAAACTATTAATATAATGGCTATTCACCATTCTCCATCAAATCTCTGTCCACCACCCTCCTTAAAAGCTGCATTTAAAGGAAATGCTGACATTCCAGAAAGCTAAACCCAGCGAGCTAGAGCCCTGTTGTGGCAATCTTGCTCCAAAAGGCACCCGAGACCACATGGCAAGGGGAAGGAACCCTCCTCTTCCCAAAATAGCCCCTTCAGAGCAGGAAATTTCCGGGCAGCAGCAGTTCAGGGAGAAGTCAGACAGCTGCCTCCCATGCTGTACCTGATCTGTAAGGAAACAGAGGGGCTCTGGTCTCCAGGACTGTCAGTGCAGTACCTCTCGTAAACAGTTCAAGCCAGAAGTGTTACACAGCAAATTGAAATAAAAGTACTCTTTGTTATGAAGTGCTGCCACACACACACAGAGCAGGTACAGCCTCTAGCAAATGTACCCAAAAGGTCCTTCTTTCAAATTGCATCCTAAAGAAATCTACTGAAATAAACTGTAGTTACCAATCTGGATGTTGGCAATAGTTTCTGTCTGTCGGTCACAAAGTGGACTCACACCCAAGTGATATTTTTTTTCAATATCACCTAAAGAAACAAAAGTATAATACAACCGTTAAGTCATATGGTCCAGACCCAAATCAAATACCAAAAGAGGTGAGCTGTGCAAGGTGGCTAACAAGGATGGTGTCTTGCAGATGGTAGAATGCATTTATTTCTCTCCCCATCTCCCAAAAAAACCAAGTAGATCTGTCAGTGAGACTAACAGTATTTATAAATACTGTATTTAAATACTATTTTTCATCAAACACTAATTAAACAAAAAACATAGAACTACTAGTTTACTGAAGGATTAACATCCTCTTCCTCACAAAGCTTCCTAGACTGTTATAGAAATGACAAATTAAAACCCCCCCTTAATAATATAGAAGAGAATAGCTCAGTGTTCAGAAATTTCTGGCTACAGACAACTTGTGGTTCTGCCTCTCCATCACCTTTACCTAAGATTAAGCCTCATGTGGATAACAGCAAATAAAGCAGTCTGTTCCCCATTTATCATATCCATGTGCAAATTAGCAGGTCTCAAGTCAGCTAAACTAGCCTTAGTTTTATTATTAAAATTTAATAATAATGGAGGAAATTCACTCCATTTGTTAATTACAAGCTTTATTAACTGCTTATATAAGTAGTCGTAACTGCGTGGTAACTGAAAATCTCTCTGGCTTTCACCTGCTTACCAACAGGCCTCACAGCTCAAGTTTAAATATTGAAGACACATGATGAACATATTTCATAATTTACTGAAGCCACTAGGTAAATTTAAAGCAGCCATAATTACTTATCTGAAGCACCTTTCAGGTTGCACCAGCCATTCTACGTTCAGATTCTAAGCAGATTCTTCAATGAGTTTTAGTAATTCCGACCTTTTGCAAGAAGTACAGCCCATGAAAGGAAAAAAATCCCATACTGCACTGCACATCTCTGTTAGACCTAAATATAAATGGACTAGGACTCATGATGCTCTTTCCACGCTATAAATACATGGTATATTAACAGATAATTCTACTCTTACCTTGATGGAAGAACTCCTCTGTTACTTTTTCACTCCACTGCTTGCTCAGCTCCCATGTCCGACATGGGTTACAAATATCCGCACACTTCAAAGCCATCTAACAAGTTAACACACAGTGTTAGACCACCTTTCCCTCCAACAGAAGCACCTGTAATTATTTATTTCCTTACAGCAGATTATTTTAACTTTTCTGAATAACAAACCTACCTAACATCTGCGCTCCAAACTTATCTTCCGCAATATTTAAAAAACATTCAGGGAACTATCAGATCTCATGATCATCCCTGAGTAATATGGAAATTCAGGCAAGTCAAAGTATTTCAGGGGCACTATATTTAGTATATTCACTGGTACAGGAGCCAAAAAAAAATTCAGAAAAAGAAACATCAAAGTAAGCAAACAGTATTTTCAATTTCTGGCTCTGCAGCTCATATTTTTAGCAGTGGTTTGCACAAGACAGAACTTCTCATCTGTTTGTTTAAGTTTTTTTATAGTCCACAATATGAACCTAATAAGAAAATGTCTACAAATCTAAAAACAATTTCAAGGTTTTTGTTTTTAAAGTTTGTTATAGCTCACTAGCACAGCTGCAAACTGATTCACAACAGTAGGTGCTTTCCTTTCCCAAAAAATGTTCTGACAAAGCATTTCACAATTCTGAGGCTGCAATGGAGTTGTTAGAAAAGCTAAACCCTCTCTTGGAAAAACACCTCTCCTTGCTTTAGTAGCTTTAAGTTATGAGACTTACCAACACTCACCATCACTTGGGAAAAGTGCTGGGGAAGGGAATTGAATGACTAGAAGATAGTTCTGCTTTTGAAAGCCTGGTAGAAGTAGTATTTAGCATTTTTAAGTAAATTATTTTTACGCTAAAATGATGTTTTCAAAAATATTCCCAAAAGGATCACCTGTAAAATGAAGTGCCGATGGTTTGCATTCTCTAAACATAGGTCTCCTCTATCCAAGTGGGATCGAAACATGGACAGATACTCGTTTTGCTGACTGATGTCTGTGGCAAGAATGAGATCGCCTATCTGGCTTTCCATCAGCTGCCTGAAATTAGTGATACCAAACATTCAAAGCATAACAATTAAGAACAACAGTCATCACAAGATTGAGATGTCTTTTTATCATATTTATTATTATACAAATACAAGCTTTATAATCAGCATTTTCACTGAACTATTTCATTTGTTTGTTTGTTTTCTTTTGCTGAAAAAGTCTTACAACATCCACAGAAACACCAGGACATTTCACTGGCGGTTTTCAAGAAGATTTCAAAACAGCTTTTACCTTCTTTTCTCCCCACCCCTCCCTATTTTTGTTCTTAAAAATGCACAAACATTGTTTCAGGATTATTTCTTGTTAGAGTAGGTGAAGAGGGTCTATTTTAAACTACAGTTGTGGTGGCAGAACAAGAAAAGGCTGCCAAGTTTAATCTGAACAGGTGCTTGTCTACATGAATACACTTCTTCAATGTGCTCACAGTAAATGTTATTTTCCGGATATCACGTTGCACCACGAACTGCTCTACTCCACCAGCACAGTATCCAGGAATTCTTAAAATAGACCATCATCTACATTTTGTATTCAAAACTGCCATGCAATAATTCATCTTGTTTTGCAAGGCTGTCTTACTTAAGTGACAGCTTGCTTGCGTCTTAAACTAATCTATACTCTTTGGTATAAACATACCTGTTTTCTAATGACATATGTGCAAATAAACCAGACTCTCTCAGCAACCCCACTGCCGATCTCCAGTGATGGTTCTCTAATACTGAGGTATTCTGCAAATGAAAAGGGAATAACACCTATCAATCAGTGCCTTTTTCTTAAACTGCAGAGCTGTATACCAAGAGCAGACCAGAAAGTTTTGCTGTGTTTTGGAGTTGGTGTTTTTATTTCTTCCTTTTTTTTCTTTTCCCAAAGAGGTTAAAACTCACAAACCCCAAATATGCTGTTAATTTGCACATTTTTTATCACAGTGGCATGGAAACAATGTCTGGATTCAAACCTACCACTAGCTAAACACATCACAATTTATACTCTTTTTCTGTACTACTCAAGCATTCTCCAAACCAGGCTTTAACAAAACAACTGATTCTGTTCTTACCTTATATAAAGTCGCTAAATAATGGTTTGTTTTAATTAGGAAAGGTTGGTTAACGCCTGGGTGATCCAAGTCATGTGTGGCAGCTGCTATTAAACTGAGCAGAACATCCCACGGAGTTAAAGATTTGGAAAGCTGCAAGGCAAAACCAATAAATGTTAGTAATGCAAGTACGCCCTTAGGGAAAGTGCACGAGTGTTGCATTTTTGGTTTTTAGTAATTAACAGCCAACAGAAATTCAGAGAAAATTTTGAAGATGTAAAACTAATATTCCACTGACTTTGCACACTATTTCCCCACTCAAAGCTACAAAATTTCAACAATGGTTTAAGCATTATTCTTTCTGAATGAGAAGGTTCAGTCTTGAAATCAACACTGGCACACAAAATCCTACTTTTTGTCTGGTAATGAAGTACTATTCCTAAGCAGATCCCATAGAAGCAGCAAATTCGTAAAATTAGCTCTCCTTGTCATTTACCGAGTCCATCTGTATGTGTCAATTCTGCTTTAAATACATACTATATTTTAGAAAGCATAAAAACCCCCTCCTCTTAAAGGGAAGAAACTAATGCTCTGGAAGACTTTAGAACTGTTCAGAATGGATTTCTACTCTTATGCGAAATTACATTTAAAAGTCTAGAAGGGCTAGAACCAAAGGAGGAAATTCTGTCACAAATAAATATTTTCAAGAAGTATGTGTATGTCAATTAACTCAGCATTCACCTGCACAGACTTACTTTCACTGCTCATAGCTGTTACTACTTACAGTTGGGAGGTTTGTGAGTTAGACTTAGTCAGAAAGTCTAGCTTGCACTAAAACAGAGAGGACAATTCTGCCCATACAAAGGTGAAATGCAGCAAACACCCTGCATGGACAGAAGTTTATATTCCCTGTTGCATTTGCCATCTATCATGCCTCACATGTTTATAAAGCACTCTGGTGCAACAGAATCTGTAGCTGTATATGTTACTAAAAATACAAAGTCTATACTTGTATCTAAAGCATCACAAAACTTCCATCATGAGTATTAAATAAAAAATGCTCAGAGCTTCCAAACTGCATGCCATAAAAAAGCTCATCATGTATCCGCTCCGATTTGGCTCACTGCACCAACTGATCTGAGAGCAGCACTGAGAAACTGAGTGGGAGGAGTGGGCAAAGAGCCTCTGAAAAACATTAAGGGAGCCAGAACTTACTTGGTTTTACTTCAGAAGCAGAATAAGGAGCTATGCTATTCAAGAGAATACCAAACTGGTGATAATCTGCATCAAGGTAGATAACGTGTCTCACCTGGCTATAAAGCACTGCAGTTTTCCATTTAATACAGAAGAATAGGATTTAGTCCTAAAATTGTCCAATCACTCAGAGCAGCCTGACAGCAGTCCAAGTAGGGAGGAACAAACACTCAACTAGCTCAACTCCTTAATGTCTGTAACTCTGCCGTTTCTTAAAAGAAAGGCCAAAGAGAAGTCCTAATGTACTGCTACAAACTGCTTCTAGCAGAAACATCCTATTCAGTGACATCAAAGATGAGCAAAGCAAGGGTAACAGTAGTTTCTGGGGGAAAAACTTCACCCCAAATGACAAATACACAAGTTTATTATTGCCAGCTCTGACTCAGGCTACAATTCTGGGCAAATGTCTTGGGGCACAGCACTATGTTAAACAGCTGCAACCTTAATTCCCTACTCTGGTCCAATGTGAAATCACACAAAAAACAGTGTCAGCTCAGAAGAGGGGAAAATAGAAAAGCACATTGCTAAGTGTGAACCCACAACCTCAGCAACAGAGAGAGCAATAGAGAGTTCAAAACTGTGTCTTGTTGGGTTCTTAGGTTTCTTTACTTTTAACAAAACGTATATATACATATACACATACGTATGCCTGTATGTATACATATATATAGATACATGAGCTTATCACTCTCTACAGCTACCTGTAAGGATGTTGTAGCCAAGTGCGGGTCAGCCTCTTCTGCCAGGCAACTAGTGACAGGATGAGAGGACACAGCTTCAAGCTGCACCAGAGGAGGTTCAAGTTGGACATTAGGACACTGGACAATTTCTTCACAGAAAGGGTTGTTAAGCCTTGGAATGGGCTGCCCAGGGAGGTGGTGGAGCCACTGTCCCTGGAGGTGTTCAAGAGAAGACTGGACGTGGCACTTTGTGCCATGGTCTAGTTGACATGGTGGTGTTGGGTCATAGGTTGGACTCAATCTCAGAGGCCTTTTCCAACCTAAATGATTCTGTGATATGCACACACAATACATTCATATGCACGCACACAAATGCACATATTTCTGTACATACACGTGATATGAAAGTGAGAACGCTCTCTTACCTTGGGCTCTTTTAAGTAACAGTGCATGGCCTGAGTCACATCAGCAGCATGAACTGCATTATGATAAGGGTTTTGACTGTGATAATCTTCTTGAACCATAACTGCAGGAAAATAACATATATCCAAATTTAAATAAAATAACAGGTTTTTTAAGCAGTATTTTATATTCCATTACTAGGCACAGAAATAAGCAATATCACAAGTTACATACACATGAAAACATCACAGTCAGTAAATCATCAGCTGAACCACAACACAGGTATACCATTTCTATGTGAAGAAATAATATTTTCTAAAGGAAATCAGCCACATGTAAAGTCATCTCAGAGCAAAATTAAACAACTTGAAATCAATATATAATCTGAGAAACTCTGAGACCTTCCCAGAGAAGACTCCCTTTGATAATCTAGACTGTCCAAACCATGAGGCAACCCTGAATACAAAATGATGATGCTGTTTACCAAAGCACAAGGAGGATCCCATATCAGGCCTTGAAAACAGACAGAATCAGAGGAATTAGGCACTGCATTTCTGTCATATGAAGTGCTTTTCTTTCCCATTCAGGAAAGTGGTCATGGAAAGCGACCTCTACACTTTTTTAGGCATCTTATACCTCACTCAGGACAATTTAAGCCTACATGCAATTTAGAAAAGAATCTCATTTAGATGATGGTCTGACTAACTACTCCTAGATTTAATATTCCCCATTTAATGTCTTCCTTGCTTTTCTCCTCTTTCATTCATCTTTCTGGCTGTCTTCGAACAGTATAGGTAGAATTCTTTAAAGGGCATCAACATGAGCTCAAGTACATGGAATGAAAGAACTATAATGTTAAAAAGGATGGAGGGGAAAAAGATCTGAAATACAACAATCAAACTGCATTCTAAGGTTTGGCCTGATACAACACATTAGTTCTTTCAAGCAAACCTAAAAGAATATTTTCCTGGCTGACTACAATCAGTCAGTCCCACCAAACAAACATGCCTACAACCTCTTTTTCTACTCAGTTGACAAGCCAAAACGGTCCATGTAATTGTGATTGCAATGTTACAGCATTACTGATGTGGTATTTGTGAAGAGCTGTGTTACATGAAAAGTCAAAATACTGTAACCACCACATAGTCTCTAAACTACTCAATGCATAGCTGACAGCTCATATAAAAAAATGATGAAAATAAATGTCTTTGAGCTCTATCAACCTGCAGTAGAACTCTCTCCCACCTGTTCCTCACATCAAGTGCACGAATGCAGATGTCCTTAATTTTTTTGTGGCTTCACAGGCTGGTCAAGCTACCTGAAGTTTACAATTTTTCTAACTTATTTAATAAAGCAGACCTAGGTCAAAATTTTGATCGTGGTTTGTCTCAACTAGAATATCACAATCACCCTATGTTTTCAGGAATAGAGTACGTCGTATTTTCTATCCCCCTGATGAGGTTTGGAATAAGAACTTGAAACCACACAGTAGGAGGATGCAGATCTCCAAGTAACCCTTGGTAATCACTGAAAGACTATGTATGTGTATAAACATATATATATATATATATACAAAAATAAAATGTTGAGATCTTACTGAGAACTAAAACCAGATTTCTCTACTTAAAAAGATTCCAATTAATTCCCAAATAAAGTGAATTTTATATGGTACTATGGACCACTTGTGCTGTCCTAGCCTTCCAGAATTTAATCTTCAGATTACTGTGGAGTGGAGTACAAGAGGTAGTAAAAGAAAAGAATGAACTGCGTTCATGCTGAAAGCTGTATTTGGAAGAAAGGTTCCCTGATTTTACAGATGTACTAGGACAGAGATAAGAAATGTTCTTCTCAGTGACATTAAGTAGAAGGCATTCCCAAATCTTCATTTGCGAAGCCTAGCCATGATGATGATGATGATGATAAGTAGAAGGCATGAACAAAAGGGAAAGGTGGTGACTTTCAAAATTAGAATAAAATTTTGCCTTCTTCCAAGTCTAATCTCATTTTAGTGACTTATGACTTTGAGTAATCACATGTAGTTAAAACTATTCGTTATCTTTTGATAACCAGCTAACTAATCCAGTCATTCCTAACCAGTCTTTCATTTCAAGTACTATGATTTGCTAAATCTCAACTAACCAGAAGATAAGCAAGATGAGAAAGACAAACCACGCTCAGTTACAACTCAAGTAGTCTAAGACTGGATTTCTATAATAATTTTCTTCACATTTCAATATATCAGTCATTAAGGTTGGCCGATTTACATTTCTGAAACTGGAAGGAATTGAGTCCACTTTAAAGCAACGTGAAATGCAAGACAGAACTAATTTTTTTTTTTTTAAGCTGAAAGAGAACTAAATTATGAAAACAAAAACATTCCCTTATTTGAAAGGGGAGAAAAGCCTTCCAAATGTGATTTCTCCTCTGCTAAATGACAAACTTTGTAACCACAGAATTGTTTTCTCTGGAACTGTGAATGCCTGCTAAAAGGGACCAGAAACCTGTTTCTCCTGCTCAGTTAAAAAAATGATTCCCACTTCACAAAATTAAAGGTACTGACTGTTGCAGAAAAACCAATGGAAAGACGTTGCACACCAGTGCCTGTCTATGGCATTGGGATGCAGAAAGACAGCTCATTCAGCTGCTGAGTGAATGTACTGCTTGGTTTGAATATTCTACATTGTATTTACAGCTCTTTCCATTGAAGTATTTCAGTGCTGCAGGCCCAAAAGTTCAAGTAAAATTGTCCTGCACTCTGCTTAGGGAGAAACTATGCCCACACTACAGTGCTTACTTGTATAAGAGTTTGAGCAAGCCAGAGACAGCATCAAACTAGCACCAGTAAATCCAGGCAAGCTTTCATATTCCATACAGTTAGGAAACTATATCACTGGGAAGCAAAGATCAATGCAGAACTGAATATTAAAAGAAAGGAGCTATCCAGCCTTTCTCAATACAAATGTCACACAATATCACATATATTTCTGATTATTTAGATTTAATAAATGGAATACAACATCAGCTATGGAACTACTACACTTGTTAATACTTGTTTGGATTTAACACAGAAAGTTCTGTACTTATAGAAACTTTGAGAGATTGTCTCAATCAATATATTTTAAATCACTGCATGATCTGGACTGCATTAATACCCTTCAAACCTTACTGCTAAACTACAACCAGCACTTCAGTTAAAGTATAAAAAAGCAGCAATATTCATCATAATAAAAAGCTGTATTTACCCAAAAATCTACGAAGTTTCATCGTATCTAATTGGAAGTGTTCAATTAGTCCATGAAGATTAAACAGATGAAAGGTTAAGCTGACTAGACTGTTTCCTAAAAATAAGATGAAAATACTAATTCATTGGAAGCCATGAAATCAGTGACTCTTTCATAAGAAATGTATTATTTCAAACAAATCGGTCACAAAAATTATACAAGCAAATTTTTCTACACCAATTTATGATAAGTTTTTAAATCTTACTGCATGACAAGATTCCATTAGCTGTTTCTAGTAATAACCAGGAGTTTTGATTAATGATAATAAATTCACCAACTCTCCACTGTCAACTGATAGGAGGAAAATGTTACTGAACACTAAAAAATCAACAGGTTTCAACATGCAAACCCATTACAATGATATTCAACCTTATAAGTAACTTTATGCAACATATCACAAACAGATAGCTGAAAACCAAATACAAAAATGATCAGGCAAAGAGAAAAGCCAACACTATCAATTAGTACACATTGTAAATATGCTCTCATTTTTGTCATGTATTTTGCTGAACTTCTCCTTATTTTACCCAGAACTCTACGAAAAAGTTTCTGCAGGAAATGCATACTATTACAAGCTTAAAATATCCTTCACCTACTCATAGCTATATTATAATCATTTGCAATGGTAAAATAGGTAAAACTGCAAGAGACAGAGAAATAGCCCAAAATGTTTATTTGAAATAGCTTGTCCATTATTTGCTCTGCAAACAATGTCATGGCTGACAATCTTCATTTAGCATTAAAGAACCTAGCATAGACAGAAATTGAGGTACAAAAGGACAAAAATTTCTGCTAAACCTTGCTTATTACTGGGCTTAATGTATTCCCATGTGCATGCCACTTCCTCACAATGAATTATGCAATTCTTGGAACATCTACTGGGTAATTTGTTTCTTAGAGGTTCATCCAGGGCAGCTCATCCAGCAGAGTTTTATATACAGCATTCTGCCCTTAAAAACTTTCAAGAACAAGGCTGCCTGATCAAAATGTCCTCCTAAAATTACTTAATTAAACACTCTAATTGCAATTCTGCTACCTACTCCATATGATGTAAGACCTGCAAGAGCTGCCCTTCATTCTCTTCCCACACTGTCACAAATGTCGCTGTGACGCTGGACTTGCTTATCTCCTTCCATTTTATTCAAAATCCAGCTTCCATCACTGTGATTATGATATAAATATTCACCCTACCCACTGCAGCAGCCCTCCCTCCTCCTTTTCAGCACTTTTACAGATCTCTTTTCTGTCTGTCCATAAATTAAACAATACTTTGGCAGTTTTTCAACCAAATACTTCTGTAGCTCCTACTGCTACCTGTAATGGGCGCACAAAACTAACCACGATGCTCTGTTCCTTTTTCTATTTTGTGCAAGCTGTGCATACAGCAGCTTCTCTCTGCTCAACTCCTAATTCTCCAGGTATTCTATTACATGTCCTAATTATAATGCATTCACACCAATGTGCCTTCTTATTGCACTATAAAGCAACAGAACTATCAACTTAAATTTATCAGAAAAATACTTGTTCAATATAAATGACCTTTTGGACACAAGCATATAAATTACCAGCAAACCCATAATTGAAAAAAAAGTCTAAGACAGTAAAATGATTTGTTAATTTATACCAAATTACTACTACAAATTACTAAAAGAGAACAGAAAGTACAAAGTACATGAAGGGACTCTTCTACAAATCAATGATTATTATCAGCACTGACAGCATCATTATTTTAATGGAGTGACCAGGCAAACTAGGACTTAGATTAAACACTATTAAACCAAAAAGTACTACCTGATGAAATTTGTGCTTTTTAGTGAATCATATATTGCAATACAAGTGCCACAGTTAAGTTATGCTAGGAGATAAAACACAAATGAAATAGCAAAAGTAAACTCACCATTTGTCAGTCTATCAAAAAGAAAAATATCAAAATTCCAATTTCCAACCTTCTCCAGCATACACTGAAAGAAAACACAAAAGCTGTCATCTTTTAATCAGCGTATGTCTATCTTCCTGTAACCCGGAGGAGCATTTAAGATTTCAGAGACAGATCAAGTCTTAGGATTTCTACATACAAAAAAAAATAGTAGTAAAAGAATAATTAAATTTGCCTGATAACTGGAAAACTTTAAAATACATCTTACAAATTAAAAAACTGAAAAAACCGAGAAGTGCCTTGACAGAACCGGTTGGAGATTTTCCTTTCATCCTTTAGTCAATTTCTCAAAAGAAGTAAGACACAATTGAAAACAATTAGGTTAAACCAGAAATAACATGACAGAAAGACACTGCATTCAGACTTCAGTTTTTCAATGAACTAGAAAATAAATCTGTGGTCTTTGACCTCATTTTCTGTCTTTCCCCTCCTTATAGAAGAGAAATAGTATCTAGATGATTTACTAGATATATGAGCCATTTGCATTTGACCCATTATATGAGCCATAATGCATTTTAAATTCTTTACAAACCTAAGCTTTTGACTTTCCACCTCACTGAACTAGCTCATCTTCTCAGCAGCTTCACATGAACTGTCCTTCCAGCACCAAACAGCACACGAGGCCTCACTAGAGTTCAGTAATCCCGATCTCTGCCTCCCCTACCTGTATGAGAAATACCTGTCCGGCACATTTTACGACAGACTCCTGCCTTCTCCTATTCTCATTAGATTGGTAGAGCTGTTTTATAATCCAATTATGCAAAAAGCATTTTAGTTTTTCTCTACCAGCCATTAAAACTCTGCTACCTGAGAAAACAAAAGCATTAACAAGTTTACTTTACTATTAAATTACATGGACATTTTTAAGATCCATCCTCCAGGTTATCAGATTTTTTTCTACACCACAGTCTGGTCATGTTCAGCTAGGATATGTCCGTTGTGTAAGTATATTCCTTTTTTGTGTCAATATGGCAAATAAAAAAGCACTAAATGCAGTGACACACAGCCTTTGGGATCTTGAATAACCTGAATCATCTTTGCCTGTTCAGTCTCCTTCAGCACTATCCATCCTTTGTCCCCAACACACTAGTCTTCTATCCAGGCAGCTGCTCTCTTAATACCACCTCTCTTCCCAGTACCTGTTTTCCCCGCACATAGCTATCAGAGTTTTCTTTTCTAGAAGAATTGCCTACCAAAGAAAAAGTCCGTTTGGCATAAACATGTCCTGAGAAAATTTACTGCATTTTACTGAGTTTGCAGTAGTAAGTAGTCACTCTTTCAGATGTTCTTTAGTCATGTTAGACTAAAAATGAAAGGAAATAGTTGTCCAAATTGCTCCACTACATTTCTTATATACAGATATATTTTCCTTTCTTCATTTTTTTAGAGTGCACCCTTCATTCACCAGTTACTAGGAAAAAAAAAAAGAAAGAAAGAAAAACACTAGCCACAAAAATCATCCCAGCACACTAGTAGGCATTAAAGGAGTTTGTTGCAATCTATTAAGATATATTTATATTAACACACAAAAATACATACACATACGTGTATAAAAAAACATGCTTAAAATTTGTATTTGGTTGTACTTTCAACATGTGATATAGTTATATATACTAGCAAGCATTTTTAAAAACATACTTAAAAAAAATAAAAATCAAGCAACCAACCTTTGCTTGTCCATTATAATCATCATCTAAAATGTTTGAAGAATTTGGAACAGTGATACCACGGAAAAAACGGGAAGATCTCAGGTATCGCTGGAAACTAAGTAACCTTCTCACATTTCTCGCAGACACAGAGACTTCGATTTCAGAATTTGCTACAAAAAACAAGAAAATAAACACTCTCGCTAAAAAACCTTTATCAAAAAGATGAGTGTTCAGGGAAGTCTGGTATAAAGCCAATGCTTTTTTTTTGGTATCAAACGTTTCAGCCACAAATACAGATATTTTTATTAATAATAAATACAGAGCCAGAGTTTAGAAAAAACTGTTCCGTGTAAGCATCCTGTAAAAAAACCAAATATTTAAATCACAGCTGCAACATATCTTTTTAAGGAACTCTGTTATTGAAAGGACAGAAATACTATAGAAATTGTCTAAAAACACATAGTTACTGCAAACAAATTATTTTTTGAAAACTGCTCTCATGTATCCATTTCTCTAACAAATCACATAAAATATGTACACCAGCAAGAGAATATCAGAAACTGCATGTTGATACAGGAGATACAAGTAGGCTTTGAGCATATATAAGTAACTTCTACATAGACCTTAAAGCTCAGAAAATCTCTTAGCTCACTACTGGCAAAATTTTAAACACATTCAAGTACTTTTGTTGCTTTTGCAGATAGTTACGTTCTTCTGGCAAACAAGTACCATGTTATTTTCACAGTATATGCAAATCCCTTTCCTGGTACAGTGAAAACACAACAGAAAATTATTTTAATCTGTTTTCAAATATTAATCCAAATATTTCGCTTTATACTAACTAGGTTAACTGTTTATTCAAATGACTGATGCTAGCTTAGGTCCAATTCCACTTGATATACTTGAAGTGTTTGAGAAACCTGAAGATCAAACTATGCATAGCTACAATTTCTTTGTAACAAGTCAGATACTCTGATTTTGAAATACTGAAGGCCAAAATTGGCCTTTACTTTCTTTTCAGCAGCACCCTAATAGCAGTTTTCTATAACCAGGAGTCAATAATCTTGATATTCATTCATTCTGCCTGAAATGACTCATGCTAAAAAAAAAAAAAATTAAAAAATAAGGTATTAAGGAAGTCAATGCAAACAGGCTCTTCTCCAAAAATGCAGATCCTCAAAACCAACATGAGCTCAAGTCTATAGTACAGATCTCTTCTTCTTCCAAGAACAAGGCATATTAGAAGTTGGTGAAGTAAGGAGTGACAAGTTTTGTTCTTAAAAGTCAGTCTAAAATGCTGTACAGGGGAAGTTGTAGTCTTATTGACAACTTCAATTAAAAGCCTTAGCAATTTCTAGTGACAGCAGCTTAATCCTACGTAAAATAAATCTTATCCATTTAAATTCTTCTCCCTGCAGAAGTTCCAACTTACTTTCTGTTCTGTGTTAGCTCATTAATATACCAAGTTCCAAACCACAGTAATAAAACACCTCTAAACAGAACTGACAGTGGGATAAACACACAGTATCTAATCAAACGCAGCAGCGTTTCACATGAACAGCCTGTGCTAACAGAGATTAAACTGAGAAAACTGGAATATTCTTTCAGACATGCCTGAAACACTTTATCAAGACACTGAAATTCAGGGCTAACTCAGACAACTTCACGTGAAATATCCTTCTTCAAGTTATCATACTCAAGGACAAGGGCACTTCCTCTGAAGACACTGATACATATATATATGTATACAGATGTATATACATATATATATACGTACTACATATGATAAAGGTAGCTTATAAAGCAACGTTCACATGTACAGCAGGCAAATAAATAGACTCTGTCAGCCTGCATTACCCTACCAATATTTCTAAGCACATTTGTTAACATGAGGTTACAGTCTGAGCATTGCCAGGCTGCAGAACAGAGAATCAAGGAGCAATACAGCTGCTGCTGTTAAAAGGGCACAGTTCTTCCCCCCTTGATCCAATCCCTTAAAATCCAAATTTCAAAAGAGAAGCTGCTAGGTTGAAAAATAAAACAATATAAAACTGTTGTAACTTGGGTCATAAAATGATCTAAAATATCCACAAAGTCACATACAAAAGCCAGGAACTTGACTAAATGTCAAAAAACCAAAATATTTAAAGTAGGAAAAATAGTGCAGATACTTTTCTTGATCTCAAGTACTCTTCCACAGACCTAGAGTTAACAAAAACCTACTCTTGTCATACTACAAACTAAGTTTCACTGTCACAGATGCCACATGTTAACCTTTGACAGAACAGTATGATGTAGGTAATACAAGTAAAACAGCAGCTTCTGGCAGCAAAGAACAAAATAGAACACAGAAATGCAATAACCTGCCAGTGTAGACATTCCACTTGTATTTGTAAGCCATTGTGGGGGGTTGCACATGGTCTTGCTTCAGTATTTTTTCTGATGATGATGTGGGTACAGAGGCAAATGAGTTGCTTGGTTTTCTGTGAAGCTTCATTATTCTGTAAACCATTATTACTCTTTACTTCACAATATGCTAGAGACATTTAGCATGTTTAAACTCTCTAAATTATCACCTATTTGTATAGCTCATAAACTACTTTTACACATTAATCCTACTTTTTCTACCCCTTGTTAAGAAAAAGAAAGAAAAAAAAGAGCACTGCTTCAGCTGATGCAATTCAAACAGCAAAGCCTACATCATTCCAGCTTTCCCAGCAGCAATGCTGCTTATTACAAAACTTCTGGGGTTCATTTGGTCAAACTGCTCTTCTCAAGCAGGGTCACTCAGACCACATTGTCCAGGACAGTGTCCCAGAGGCTTTTGAGTATCTCCCAGGATGGAGACTCCACAGTCTCCTTGGGCAACTTGGTACTTGGGTACCACTACTTGGTACCCCTCACAGTGGAAAAGTGTTTCCTGATGTTCAGAGGGAACCTCTTGTGTTTCAGTTTGTGCCATTGCCTCTGGTCCTGGCACTGGGCACCACTGAAAAGAGCCTGGCTCCGTCATCTTTGCACCCTCCCTTCAGGTATTTGTATACATGGATGAGTTCCCCCACTGAGCCTTCACTAGCCTGAACAGTCCAAGCTCAGCCTTTTCTCATCAGCCCCTTAATCTTCCTGACCCTTTGTGGGACTCTCTCTGGGATGTCCATGACTTTCTCTTATGGGGGAGACCAGACCTGGACACAGGACTCCAGGTGAGGCCTCGTCAGAGCTGAATAAAGGAGCAGGATCACTTCCCTCTATCTGCTGGCACCATTCCTCCCAGGACACCATTTCCTGTCTTTCCAACAAGGCCACATGGCTGGTTTATGTTCAATTTGGCACCCACCAGGAGCCTCAGGTGCTTTTCAGTCAAGCTGCTTTCCAGCTGGGGCTGTTCCTCCCCAGAGGCCGGGCTTTGCACTTCCCTTTGAACTATTAGTTATCGTACACGTATAGCCCAAGCTAAACAAACCTTGACTAAAAGTCTTTATGATTTAGATCTGCAATGATTAGAATAACTTCCAATTGAGAAAAGAGATCTTGAGTCTTACCATCCCTCTGCAGTTCCAGAACACCTCATGCGGGGGGACAACACCAACCCCAAAAGTAAATTTCTCTCCCTTTAACAGCTAAACATTTTCCACAAGACAATTCACAATAGGCGAGTCAGTTGCGGAGGTTTGACAGGTTATTAATTTAAAAGGGAGGCTGAAACAGAAAATAGCTGGCTTTCAAGGAATGGGGTGGGAGGAAGACAGCTTCTTCAGCTGCAGGAACACTGATAGCAACCGTGCCTGCTGTTTCCTTTTCCTCACAGATAAATTATTATTAAGGACACACAAACCAACTGCTTTGTGGTTCCAGCAGACCAGCTAAGACCAGTTCATGGGAAGGACTGATAAAATACAGTTGTGCAATGGAAACTTGGTATTTCCCTCCTGGCACATTCGTTCCCTTTATATGCATGATTAATATGAGAATGTCAGCCTACCTTCTTCTATCATGAGTCATGAAATGAGATGCTAATTTCGAAGACCCTACCAAATCAAGGTTCAATAATGTATTTATTATGGAAAGAAGGAGGTGAAGAATGAAGAGTGCTCATGAATAAGCATGCTGCAAAGACGTCCCTCCTCCCAGCCCAAACATCTTTCATTTGGAGCCTTCAGTGTGCTAAATGCCTTCCTAATATCCAATACTGACCATTTGCTCTTAAGGACAGGTTAGGGACAAATTAGAATGAGAAAATAAGTATGCCATTTACTGCCCTGAGAACTGAAAGAGAATGAAAGCAAAGTTGGGATGGCAGCCACGTTAAGAAGGATGCTGCAGCGTTCAGAAATGCTTTTGATGCAAGGAATCAGAACACAACCTGTAAGGTCTTTGTGCCTAGTCGACAGCAGCCATTCTATGATATTCTTCTTCTCATTCCTTTCTAAGTTATAGATATCATCCAAAATATTTTCCAATGGTTTTTTTGGTTTTCTTTTTTTTGTTTGATTAAAATGGTTATTTTCTTGTTTCTAAGCATCTTAAGTGAGATGCTGGTAAAATAAAATATTCCTTTATCTAAAAAAAAAATAAAATTAATTCTGTTTACTAATATCAGTTATTTTGCTAATGTTATGCATATACAGCAATAAAATAGCGCACGTTGCCTTCATGCAACAGATTTCATCTGTATTTCAAGACACTAATTTTAATCTCTCTTCCCACTCCCAATCTTTCAAGCATGTCATTCTTCATGAAAATCTAAAAAAAAGTTTTATCACATTTCACAGGGATATTAAATATTTATTTTTCTCATGCTGATATAAAAATACAAAGTGAAAACAAGTGATAATCACAGAATCATAATCATATCACTAAATCATATACTGATAGATTTGCTCTCTGAATTTTTGCATCTTGCATATAGTAAGGACAGTCAACAAAAGGTAGAATGACAACTTAATTATGGTTTGGTTTAATTTTTTATTAATAGAAAACTTAAATCCTAACAATATACTTCAACTTTATTTTAATGCAAAGACAAAGACTCATACCCTCTGATGGGATCCTGGCTGAAACAAGGCTATCCAGTGTAAGAACTCTACCTCCTTTTCTTCCCTGCTACAGCACAAAAGGAAAATAGGAAATTATCCACAATAAAAATCACTGGTTTTTGCTATAATAAATA